TATGATGTCACCTCTGCCATGCCACATTCATCCCAGGAGCAAAAGGCGCCAATATCACTCAGGTTTCCAGTGGGACCTCAAGCCACCAAGTAAAGGGGAAAGAGAGAATTCATTATTATTATTTTAGTGTTATACAGTTGGAAGTAAGTTCATGATACATTTCTGAAGGAGGAGAGTGGAGAGTTGGCAAACAATCATTTGAAACATAAGAGATGTGAATATTACAGATGCAGGGTTTGTACACCTGCAGCATTGCAACCTTTCCTAGTGGGGTCATTGTGAAAGAAACCACCAAACACTTGTTGTTGTGTTCAAGGTAAGTGTTCGAAATATTTGGAGTCATATTCTCTTGACATACACATTGTGGACCATTAACTCGCTAGAATGATCCTGGAATGAAAAATGTGTTTCGATCCAGTGATCGAAGGCAGGCAGGGAGTCAGAAGAGGTGAACATTTTCAAAGGGAGCAAAAGCAGGCTTAAGGTCCAAAAGTAGGTGAGGGTCATAAGCTACTGGCGGTCTAAGGAATTGCAGGAGGAGTTTGTGAGGCAGAATATAATGATTAAGATGCCTACACTATCGTACCAAAACTTAAAATTTAAAATGATTTCAAGGAAAGGTTCAGCATTTTGGGAAAATGTGCTTTTTGCCAAAGAGAAGGTGAGAAGATCAATACCCTCAGATATGATAACAGCCATCCAGATAGCTGTCTGTACAAAAAAAGTGTAAACATGACATTTTGCTGTTTTTTCAAAGGGGTTACATGCAAAAAAATTTCTTGTCTGGGGGGCGGTTGCCGGGCAACCAGTGGTAACTTGCTGTTTCCCCCTATTTCCAGTCTGTGTGCTATTTTAGCAAAGCTAATTTAACCATCTGCTTGCTGTAGCTTTCCTATTTTAATGGACAAGTCATTCAAACTAGCATTAACATCACTAAAGAAAGACTCACACATGTTTGGGGTTGATCATAGTTGTGTTTCTTTTCCCAGAACAGCTGCTGATGTTAACAAGGATGATTGCTGCTGGAGTGTTCGTACTGATAGTTGTGACCATGGGCGCACGACTTACTTCATCATCAGAAGAATAAGGTGTGTGTGTGTGTGTGTGTGTGTTGTGTCAGATGTGTATTTTATGGTGGAGTATACAGTCTGAACTGCTGAAAAGAAAACTCTATCCATGAGAATTAACTAAATGTTTTGAATGATCAATTCTTCTGATGATGAAGTAAGTCGTGGCGCCCATGGTCACAACTATCAGTACGAACACTCCAGCAGCAATCATCCTTGTTAACATCAGCAGCTGTTCTGGGAAAAGAAACACAACTATGATCAACCCCAAACCATGTGTGAGTCTTTCTTTAGTGATGTTATGCTAGTTTGAATGACTTGTCCATTAAAATAGGAAGCTACAGCAAGCAGATGGTTAAATTAGCTTTGCTAAAATAGCACACAGACTGGAAATAGGGGGAAACAGCAAGTTACCACTGGTTGCCCGGCAACCGCCCCCCAGACAAGAAATTTTTTTGCATGTAACCCCTTTGAAAAACAGCAAAATGTCATGTTTACACTTTTTTTGTACAGACAGCTATTCTGGATGGCTGTTATCATATCTGAGTGGTATTGATCTTCTCACCTTCTCTTGGCAAAAAAGCACATTTCCCAAAATGCTGAACCTTTCCTTGAAATCATTTTAAATTTAAGTTTGGTACCGATAGTGTAGGCATCTTAATCATTATATTCTGCCTCACAAACTCCTCCTGCAATTCCTTAGACCAGCCAGTAGCTTATGACCCTCACCTACTTTTGGACTTAAGCCTGCTTTTGCTCCATTTGAAAATGTTCACCTCTTCTGACTCCCTGCCTGCTTCGATCACTGATCGAACACATTTTCATTCCACAGGATCATTCTGCGAGTTAAGTCCAAACTGTGTATGTCAGAGAATATGACTCCAAATATTTGACACTTACCTTGAACAACAACAACAAGGTTGGTGGTTTCTTCAAATGAACCACTAGGAAAGGTTGCAATGCTGCAGGTGTACAACCCTGCATCTGTCATATTCACATCTCTTATGTTCAAAGATTGTTCTGCCATCTCCACTCTCTCCTTCAGAAATGTATCATGAACCTTACTTCCATGTATAACACTAAAAGTAATAATAATGATTCTCTCTCCTACTGGTGGCTTGAGCTCCCACTGAACCTGAGTGATATTGGCGCCTTTTGCTCCTGGGATGAATTGGCATGGCAGGGTGACATCATACCCGATGTATCCAGTCACTTCAGGCCGGACTTTGACTTCTTGTGCCCCAACAACTGCAGAAAAAAAACTATGTCATAGTGGCAGGAAGAGAGACAATATATAAAGTACATTTATTCAAGTGCAGTACTAAGTACCTTAATTTTAATTGTAATTGTAATTAATTGTAGGTAAATTTAGTAAAAATTATTTAGTAGGCCTGATGATATAAAAGTATATATATAATAATACAATAGTCTAATATAAAAAGGCTGTTCTTTAATGTGTACTTTTATTTGTGATGCTTTAAGTAGATTTTATTACCAATACTTGTTTACTTTTAAAAGTACAATTTTGAATGCAGGACTTCTGCAATGGAGTATATTTAAAGTGCAGTATTGCTTTACCCAAGTACAAGAGGAACTAAAAAAAATGTCTTTCACCACTGTTGGTGGTTTTCTTTCAAAATGTCAGTCAGCATTTCACAAATAGCCAAAATTTAAAACCTTGTGTATTACCTTGGATTGTGATGTAAATGAACAGAAGTGCAAGGGGTGATCTTCTGCTGCTTTTCATTGTGTACATGTACAGTACAGGAGGTCAAGTGGTCCAGCTTTGTCTTCTCACTTCTCTCATCTTCAAATTGCAATTCATTTGTCGTCATAGGTGATTCATGCAATCCAACAGCACAGTGACCTCATGTGGTCAAATGATGATAATGTGCAGACAAGTGCTCCAGTGTTGAATTAAATGAAGGGCTATTACCCAACAAGTTGTATGTGACTTACAAAGGGGCGTGAATTAGAATCAGCTTTATATTGGTCAAGTTTGTGTACACATACAAGGAATTTGACTCCATTTTGAAGTTGCTCCCAATGTACTTACACCCAGTTCCAAAAACAATTTACAAGAAGACGGATAGAAATAGAGATACAAAGAACAAGGACAACAAAGCTGAACAAATATAGGTAAAGATAAACAGAACTGCTGTGCACAAGTAGGCGAAGAAAGGATTTTGAGAAGATTATTACCTTTGAATATTGATCAGAGATGAGTTTTCCTAATATTTTTAGGAACCTTTTATAAAAATCTGTATGTATTATGTATTATTATTATTCACCCACCCACCCACTTTTTAATCAATCATATGAGACAAATTCATTGTTTTCTTCTTATTGTTCTCTTAGCTTTTTGGTTAACTGTTTACTTTTCTAATGCAGGATGTAGCTGTTTAGCAGAGAGTGAAGGCTCTGTAAATATAGCTTGTGTTCAGGGTCTTCAAAGTTTAGATAAAAATCCAAACTTAAAAAATAACAATTTCATTTAATTTTCCCCACAGAAACGAACGTGTATATTTCTTAAAGGTTTTGATGTAAGAAGCAGCTAAAATGATAGTCTTAAAGACAGATCTGCAAAATAGGGTTTCTTTGATTTATATTGTATATACTATATTACTGTATTTCAAATATTGTTGATTATATGTCATTTATTTTAATATGGACCCCAGGAAGGATCCTCAACATTATACTGACAAACATGTTACAGTTATGACTAACTCCATATGTGTCTAAAATAAGGTGAAACTACAAATATGTTTCCTTTTTGCTAATTTTCACTCAGAGGTGCACAACTCTTTTCCAAATCAGTTTTATTCTCTAAACATTTTCAGCTATCTTGCCATAATCAGGGTGGTGTTTCCTCAATTATGGATGGGACTTAATTTCCTTGTGCAAATGCACTGTCTGAGTAGAAACAAGAAAGCAGGACGTCACTAGGATTCATATCTGTGCACAGCAAGGTCAGGATTAATGCAAAGGGAAGAATGGGTAAAGGATTTTCACATCTTCAGTTTTTCAGTAAAACTTTATTATAATAATTTAATCAATTAATGCAAATGTAAACATCAACAATAATTTACAGTAGGATGGACAGCAAATCAGACTGTGGTTGTACTGGGCAACTTCCAGGTGTGAAATAATATGTTTAGGGCATTCCTGAAAAAGAGCATTGCTCTCAGTAAACCCCCTTATACAATAGTTTTATTCTAGGATGGCACCATTTACAGATAACAGATAATTCAGATAATCTCTAAAAATATCCCAGCCATTCACCACAACATCTGACAGACCCATTGAGACAAATACACTTTTACAAAATACCTTTTTAACGTTAATTTTAAATTTTATATTAAATATTTTATGATGTCTGTATCAGAATAAAACTTGGTGCAAATATTAAATATGTAAATGGAAGATTCAGAAGGTGACTATTAGTAGTTGGCTTATTAATATCATGAATGGATTATTGAACAGGCCTACAAGATACAAGCCCTGTGTTACCATTTCTTGAAAGTCAATCAAATTACTACAGAGACACAAAAAAACAGAAGAGATGCAAAGATGGTAGAAACAGAGTCAAAATGCCCACAAAGACACACAAATGAGTGTTGTAAGCTACCAAATAACCATTTGAAATGCAAGAAACTACCAATGTACATCATTCCTTCCACAATGTCTGATTTCTTCATAACATAGATTATGCAAGGCTCATTCTCAATAGTACTACAGTGACAGTGACTTTGCTTTTTAAGTGAAACATTTGCAGGCATTTTTTCTTTTCAGTCTGAGTAATGCCATGCGCTGCTGTGGAAAAACGTTAATGGTGCACTTCTTACAAACAACGCTTGTCTTATCTTTTTTATCTATTTCCTGTCATGATGCAGCTCTATACTACAAGAGAGAAAAGAGAAACCACAGGTAATGTCTGTGACAATGAAAAGGTTTATTAAGCCACGCTAGCCACTAACAAACAGTTCTGTTTTAAAGAAAATGTACAGACAATTCGTAGACCCTTACCCATCTGCTTTTCTGCATGATTTGCTAAACAAGCAACAGGACTGAAATATCTCAAATGCATTACATCGGGTGTAAAAAAAAAAAAAAAAAAGTCCAATCAATGACTTTCAATACAAACTAGATGTAAAAACAGAGCAATATAAAAAATACAAATTAGCCCTTAAGTAAGTATAACAAAAAAGAAATGGCTTTGTTCTCACATGTTCTGCTGTACAAAGTGAGCCATAATCTCACACCCACATAATCACACTGCCAGGAAACCCTGCCAGAAGGTAACACAAGGACTGTTGCTAAATTTCAGTGATTGTATGCATCATTACAACAACCACATTTTATCACCTTTTTACATATCATTCTCTGACTGCAACATCTGCATACATCTGCACAATCTGGCCAAAGTAGACAGAATACAATGTATGGTAAAATCCCAGAACAACAACTACTACCAGTAGCTTATTTGTGCTATTGGAATATATTCAGTATTGAATCATAATATGCAATTCTTGCTTTTGACTTATAGCCACTGCAGGTAACTTTGAAGAAGCAGGCAGGATTAGGAAAGAATTTGAAGTACAGTACACTTACAAGTCCAGCTCTAAAAAGCTCTCAAAAAACACGCTCACGATTCAAATTCTAGGCAGTAAAAGACACAGACTTTAAACATCATAATGTCCAATTAGTTGAATTATAATAAAAAAGGAATCTAGGAAGTAAACTGCTGAAATTGGGGATGTTTGTCACTTTTAAGGTCCCTAAGCGTCATTAGCTGGTAAAATTAACATGCCACACTAGTGTTGCACAGGTTAGTTCCTTGTTTATTGTGTAATTTTCAATTTTTTTTCTTCCTTTTGGCCTTCTACCTTTGATGGTCAAAGGGTAAAGGAGGAACAGGAACTTGTTTTGAGGTTGTTGGTTTCTTTTTTTTTTACAACGTTCTCAGGAACAGCACCTGTCTGTGGGGAGACTTTAGCGTTATGGCCACAGTCAGAATCGCACGTCATGAGAGCCAGATAGTATCTTTACTTTACAGATCCACAACTGGAACAGGACTTCAGGTCCAGTAACATTTATAGCTTTTTTAATAGTGGGGGAGATGAGATAGCTGCACTGAGCTGGGAGCAACTGTGACCTCTTAATATTATAAGTGTTAATTAATGTTATATCTAACCCAATAAAAAAACCATAAACAGGGGGAGACCCCTGACCATAAACAATGCAACAATAAATTGGCTGTATGTGTGCCAATCAACCAACAGTCAAGGTTGTTGCTATCCTATGAGCCAGGCTTGCAGCTCTTTCTGACAAAACAGTATGCTAATGGATAGCTGTCATGCTAAAGAGAAAGTTGGCCATTTCCTGGTTTGGGAGTTAGAAAATATGGTCACCCTAGCCATGGCTGATAATTGCTTATAGCTGAAACACTGAAACACAATTGTTGTTTGCCAATAATAAACAAATAAGATATTGAGGCCTATCTGACAGTGCAGCTATCCTGTTTGTTTTATTCCTTATTACCCTGCATTCAATAAAGCGTTAAAGTTTTGGTGCTGTGCATGTCTTTACTCTTCACCAAACTAATGATATTCACATCAGCTTTAGCTCAAATGCTTGTATGCTAACATGCTAAACCAATAGGGTTTATACTGTATTGATGCTAAACATCAACATGCTAGCATTATCACTGTAAGCATGTTAGAATGTGTGCAACCTCACAGAGCTGAATATAGACAGAATACTACCGCCAATAAAAGCTCTGCTAACTCTGTGATAAATATATTGCCTTTCTTTTGTCACCTGCTGTGAGGCTGTGTTGGAAACAGCTTGGTTTGGTACGGGCCCATGAGAGCACGAATAGAAGGCGCAGCTGATTTACTGGCAGCTGTCAGGATATACTGGTTTCAATGAATGACACCAAAACGATGGTAAATGCAACCTGCATACAGCAGTTTCAAGAAGATATTTTTTTCTTCAGCAAATACATAAAAAAGAGAAGTTCAACATTACTTTAGTGAATCTAATTTGGGTGGCCGGCGAAAAACTACAACCTCGGAGTATGCAACATCATCAGCATATGTGGTCTCTGTACATTGGTCAGTGAGTGTAGGTGTCACATCTCTGAATGGTTTCAGCTTGACATCAGAGTAGACCACATCCTATGGTAAAATGTGGAAAAAAAGTGTAAAGATTCTGTTGCTCATTATGTTTCTTTGCTAAAGCAGAAATCTCTCTTTTTCTTATCACAACGACAGTATAAGTAATCTGACAGAACGTCTGAGCTCACCTCCTCTCTTACAGTGACAGATGGCCTGGCCACATCCATCACTGGAACATTTGTATCTGAAAGACAGACAAGCTTTAGTCAAGGGAACTGAAACAAACAACAAAATATATAAATCAATCATAGGCTGTTAAGAAATAGAACGATAAGGAACTCATGATTTTGTTCTCACCGATGTAGATGCGGTGTCTGACCGAAGAATCCGGTCTAAGTAAAGGAGAACAAAATTCAAATCGATTAGTTTGAGTGATTACCTTATTTGATTTTTGACTTGAAATTACTTTATTTTTTATTATACTAAAAACATTATTGTATTAATTATGTATCCCTTGTTAAATTTAAAAAAATGTTGCAGTATATGTACATAACAAAGACCAAAATAGAGGAGGAGAAGGAGAAGAAAATCCTTTCTTAGTCATTGTGTAGTTATTAAAATATGTATCAAATGGATGATTAATGCTGATATATCTGTAACAGCTTATGACACAAGAGTCTTGGTTATGAGAAGAGCTTGTTTTTCTACAGCCTCTATACTCCTACGCAAACACATCAGACTCACACACACACACGCACACACACCTTCTGATAAAGATGAGGTAAGCTATGGCTGCCATGATCACTAACAGCAGCAAGACGGCAATCACTATAGCAGAAACCACCCCTGATGATAACGGCATCTGTTCTGGGAGAGAAAACACGACTGTGATTAACCCTGTGTGTGTCGATCATGCATTTATTTTAAGTTACCGGTGTCAGTAATCACAGTTAATTAATCAATGTAGTGTAATTAGTGTAGTTCAGAGACATAAGGTAACACAGCACAATTAGTTTCTGAAGTTGTATCAAGACAATGAAAGCTATGTTACAAATAAAAAAAAAAAATACATATATATAATGAATGATTTAGTGATTAGATGATTTAGTAATGGTCTTGCAATCACACCAATTTTGAGAATTGTCTATATTTTGTGTGTCCAGCTAGTGTAAAATGCTTTTCTTACTCACCTTGAACAACAAGGTTGGTGGTTCCTTCAAATGAACCACTAGGAAAGGTTGCAATGCTGCAGATGTACAACCCTGCATCTGTCATATTCACATCTCTTATGATCAAAGATTGTTCTGCCATCTCCACTCTCTCCTTCAGAAATGTATCATGAACCTTACTTCCATGTATAACACTAAAAACAATAATGAGGATTTTCTCTCCTTCTGGTGGCTTGAGCTCCCACTGAACCTGAGTGATATTGGCGCCTTTTGCTCCTGGGATGAATTGGCATGGCAGGGTGACATCATGCCCGATGTATCCAGTCACTTCAGGCCGGACTTTGACTTCTTGTGCCTCAAGAACTGCCAAAGAAATAAGGTGATGTGCAGTTTTGTTGAAGTCCGCTTGAACTGTCTTTGACTGACTTTGTTTCTTTAGTAATTACTCAATTTGCCTTTTTTCAGTACGATGTAAAAAAAAACTTATCTTTTCACATTACTGAGTATTTCTTATAATACTGATACTGTGTACTATTACTGAACTATGCTCTAAAATGTGTTAACTGTATTCAGTGGAAAGTATCACAACAGTCACAAAAACATCACTCTGCCTGCAATAGTCTGCATAATTATGCACTTTAACCAACTTCTGAAAACAAATGTAACACTTTAGAGTATGCAGAAAATGTACAGCCAAATTCTTCCCAATTTACAGTGTGACTGTTTGTACTAATGGTATACCAGTACAATATGTACCAATACATACATGTAGGTACAAGGGAACAAGACGTCAGGTTGTTGAATTAGAGGGTAACAATGTGGGAAAAACAATTGACACCCTAGGAATTTTAAACTAACCGGTACCCTTTCTAATATGAGCATGAGCCTCATTAAAAACCACACATGGGCCATAAATGAGCGTCCGCCATTGATGAGAAGTGAAGTGAGCGGCAGCTGAGACTGTCTTCTGTGGAGCTGTTGTTAAATGATGCTATGGTATAGTTCTTGTCTGCGGTTAGTTTCCTTTTAGAAGACCCCACCACATACAGCTGAACAACCTCAGGCTACTGCAGTCATCTCAAGTACAATGTTGTAGTATGTATAGTGTGAGCAGAAACATACTGGTTATAGACCTACAGTATGTTCCTGATAATACACTGGACGTCTGTTTGTGCCACAGCATAAACACAAATATAACCCATAGTTGTGTAGGAACTATGTAGTTATCATCTGTACCCCCCTCAATGTTAGTAAGTAGAAATCCTAAAATCCTACCTCATTACCTCATCTTAACTCAAACTTATAGCTTTGTTGTTCAGTACACTGTACTAGCTACCCGTTTGTTTAAAATGCCAACAGTATAAATTTGTTTTTTGAATACCCACATTTTACCTGCTTACTCCCTAACTTTACATCTTGTTCTCTTGGAAGGAATTGCTGTAACTCTTCTACACTGCTGCTCCAAAGCATTATCAAAAATAAAAACACTGTCTTACCTGGTAGTAATGTGATGTACAGCAACTTCAGCAGCATGAGAGGTGAAGTTTCCATTGTGCACAACTACAAGCGGTGGACAAAATAACAGAAACAATATTACACAGTACTGTTGCTGCTGTACATACATACGAATTAATTCACCAGCAATGTTACTGTGGTAGAGTGCTGTAACAGGATGATATCAAGTCAACAAACTTACAGAGTTACAAAGAGGCATATCCGTCGATGTGCAGTTGCTGCATTAATGTGGCAGAACAGAGGGAAGTGTCAATAATAATATGTGGTAAACAGAAAAAAATACAGTAGGAAAGAGGAACATAGTCTGAACAACGACTTTACCAACGCTGATTGATACATCTGTGACAGAACAACGCTGGAATAAGCTTAAAAAATGATCGGGTTGACTCACATACATTACATAAAAACAAACTATAGAGCGCTGTTGTTAGGAGTATACAGCATTGTGTCCACTCCCAGATTCCTAAAGCTTCAAGTTAGATCCAATTTCAAATTAATCAACATTTTACTGAAGTGTGCACACACATATCTTATTAGTGTTTAGTAATTCAAATAACTAACTTACCCTAGAAAGAGAAGATGTTAGGGGCATGGCTGCGGCAGAAGGCAGTTCCCATCTCCCAGCACTTTACCAGGAATAAAAAAAAGTGCTTACAGGCTGATCGTTTCTATATTGAACTTCCCAGTCTTCAAATTCACAAATGTAGAAGTCAGCATGTTGGTTCCTCTCTGCCACACATAGCACCCAGCAGTAGTACAGTGACCTCAGGTGGCCAAAGGGTGATAATGACGCATATATGTGGAAAACACAAATATAGGCTTCAACCTCACTGTTTTTTAAGAAACTAGTTTACTGTTAGACACGCAGGACTGAGTTGGTTTGTGGATTCAGAGCTGTGTAAATATCAGAAGCTGAATCATTTCTGATTGGTTAGCAGTACCAGTGCTTATGGTGGATCAAATTCTCAAATCCTCTCAGTTGCCATACCGTGATGGGACGCAAGAAACCAGGCCAAAGGTATTTATTTAAGTTTGAAAACGAACTACTTTTGGAGCCGATTAGAGTCATAATGTGGCTCGAATCGCTCACGGCTTCATTATCTCACTGTGGTCTCTATAATAGAAGAATACTTGGATTGACGTTTCAACGCGCATGTGTTTTTGCTGTGGGGCCACCGTACTGCCCACGTGTTTGAATTAGTGAGAGGCATGGTCTTGTTCCTCAACCTAAGTTATAATAGCTTAATGTAAATTGATATTTTTTTATTCGTGTAATAATTGTTATATTTTTAGAAACGTTGCATTTGCACAATTCTGCAAATTGCGCTCTACTATTCATTGGTAGGCAGACGTCAGATCTGTGATAATGCTTAATGCCTTTCTCCCCTTTATATGAAGAAGGAAATTGTGGAGAGTCAGATGAAAAGGCATTGTTTGTCTTTTGTAGTGTCTTCAAATGTGAGAATCTGAGTGTTTGTGTGCGTGTTGGAGAGAGTAAAAAGAGAAAGAGACGGCCCCAGGGGACATAAATAAATACTCTTAAAAGTAAAATGAAATGGGAAGTTAGTCATTTAAAGGTTCAAAAAAGAAAAAAGTTTTTAAGCATATGCAAAGAGTTTTACAGGTAAGTTGTAAAAATAAAATGAATATGAAATCAAAAGTTTTAGTAGCTAAAAGAAGTAAACAAGTAAGATGTCCATGAAGTGTGACCCTGTTGCAGTACAGTCCTACAGAGCATTGTCATCAAAAGAGAAACCTTGTATTGCAAGGTCCAAATCACATTCTCATTACTCAGACATGTTGAATGTAGAGATTTTAGAGATTTCAATGTATGGAAAAGAATAAAAACATTTTTTTCTTTCTGTTTTACCTTCCATTGTAGATTCTGCATTTTTGCTCCTGAACAATTCAAAGCTTCTCCTGCTTTAGCTGTACAGTTGTGAATACCGCCAATTGTTTTCACATTAATAATTTAGTAATGTACTTTTTGTTCTCCTTCTTACTATGATTTGACCTTATAAGTATCTTTGTTACACAATGGTCTAATGTCTTAGAGGACACAGGATCCAAAGTAGAAAGCTGTTGTACAGATTTGAAAACCATGTATGCTCAGTCTGTCAGTCAAAGATACGGCTCCCCTCACTCGACAGTTTCAGTTAAGACGCTGGATGATTTACAGTGTGAAGAAACAAACGGGCAGCAACAGCAGAAAACAGAACAGTACATTAATCCTAAAGCCCCACACTACTGACCTTGGGCCTTTCCCCTTTTTTCGAATGTGTGCCCCCTCGTCTCCTCTCTCCTGACCTAACCTGAAGGAGGCTGCATGTCAGAAAAAGTGATGTATAATTATCTGCACCGATCAGAGTCCCTGGCTGAATTAGCCCCAGGTGTCCAACAGGGTAATCAGGTCGGGATGCAAAACTTTGCCTGTTTCAATTGGTCAACCTCGGTTTGTTGCCTGCACGTAAATTACAGGGCAAGACAGGAATAACAAGTGCAACAGGAACAACTCTGCATCCTGAGCACTACACAGTCATTTCTTCAGTAAGATTATCACATATTACTGAGCAAATGACGTGGAGCAATGAGCTGGCTGTGGCTCAGGAGGTAGAGCGGGTCATCCACTTATCAGATTTGGTGATTCGATCTCCAGCTCCTCTCTCTTCATGCCAAAGTGGCCTTCAGTTACTGAACCCCAAATTGCTCCTGATGCTACCCCATCAGTGTATGAATATGGGTGAATGTGACATGTCGTGTAAAGTGCGGTGAGTGGTTGGAAGACTAGAATGGTGCTTTATAAGTGCAGTCCATTTACCATTTACACTCCAGCCTGCTTATTATCACACATACGATTTTAACTCTGCAAGAAACACAAGCTTTTCACATCTAGAGTGAAGGATTTTTTCCATGAACCTCTGTGTCCTTTGGTTTAAAACAGGTGATTATTTCTGCAGTATAAGTTACTATGGAGAACACATTATAAATGTAGGCACAAATGTTTATTTGCAATCTTACATCGGCATGTAAAGATAATGCACAAGAAATGGGAATAATAAATCCAGCTGCTACTCATGAACATGAACATTTATGCAATAATTATATTTCCTATATTGTCTGTAATTAGATTAGTATAAGTATTTTTAATTAATTAAGATAATTGTTTTTCCAATGTAAGAGTTTCCACTTTGTCTCAAGAATGAACAGTTGTAATGAAAGTCTCTTCAACACGTTCTTTTTTATTTTAGTCAGGGTCCTCCGTTATAAGCAAAATCCATCAGGGAAGGAAGAATCTGAAAATAAAACATAAAACATTGTAAATTAATATGACAGTAAGAAGGAACAAATAGATAAAGGGAAGTTAAATATGAACAATAAGGCAGATATTTGATAAATTATTATTCTCACCTTCTTTTTACATTAACCCTCTCAGAGTCAGAGCACTGATCAACAGCACTAAAAACGACCAGCAGGGAGCAGTGCAGGATGCTTCATGAAGTAATAAAGACATCAATTATCACCCTTTGAAATGTCACAAAATCACCATGACAGTAAAAAAAAGAAAAAGAAATATATCATAATGACCAAAAATGTATCCATCACTTCCCTATCTCATGTGAAAAAGTGAAATCTTACCTCTCAGATTCAGAACTGTGGAGTTTTCCAGCATTGTCACCATATTTCTGGCAGTGCAGGTGTAATTCCCAACACTTCCTGCCTTCAAACTCTCTATAATATACATGGTGTTATTAACATGTGTCTCATTGCCGTTGAACATCCAGCTGAAGTGTGCTGGTGGGACAGAGTCCGCTGTGCACTGCAGTGTCACTCTCTGGCCAGGTGCTGCTGCTGATGGTCCAGTAATTGATATGTTGTGTGGTCCAACTGCGTAGAGAAAAGACATATTAATGCTCAGACCTGTAAATGCCTTTAATAACTGCGAAGAGTTAATTTCACCAAATGCAACCAGTTTTCATTCGTGTGTCCATTGTGTTCAGGCCTGCAGTGAGCAGTACTCACAGTTGACAGTGAGTTTATGGACCGCAGTCATGGTGCTGACTGGGTTGCTGACTTGACACTGGTAGGTGCCATGGTTGGAGCTGTGAACAGGCTGTATGAACACTGTCTTGTTGTCCATGGACAAGCTGACTGTACCACTCAGATGAAGAGGCTGGCCGTCCTTTATCCACACTCTGGTGCTGATGGAGCCAGAGGCCTCACAGCTGAGGTTGGTGGAGCTTTTGTCTTCTATCAAGATGGCTGCGGGGCTGCGGATGATGGCTCCACTTACCGGTGCTGTAAAAACATAAAGAGTGTTAATAAAATGAAAATGGTTAAATAAAATAACTTGATGCACTGATACAAATGAACAGAAAGCACAAGTAATTGTTGTAAATGTATTTTGGTGATGATGACAAGCTATTTCAAGGCATTAGCTATTACAGATGTAGGGAATAGGTTGATGAAGGATTAGGTTGGTTATTTTCAATATGTTGCTATATAATATTAGTTCTAGCAGATATTTAGCAATTTTATGATTCTGAACTACCATAATTTTATTCACAACAAATGTTTTATATTTACATTTCCTCTTATATTTCACATCACATATTGTTCATATTTGTGACAAATTAAATGTATAAATTATTTAATCCTTGCAGGAACTTAAAAACAGTTACAGGACATGGAGTTAATAGAATAATGGATTTATTGGACTACATCCAGTTTATCCACCAGAGCCTACTTACCAACACAACCACAAAGTACCACAGTAGCACCACACTGAAATTATATTTTAAATTAAAAGATGTAACGCAATATCAGCAAGGAAAAGGTTGTATTCATTGCACTTGATTACTGCAATGCATTGAATTAAATATTTAATTATAATACAGTGTAAGGTATCAGGTAACAAATCAGATTTTCTGCAACAGATTCAAATTAAAATGTGTCCATTCATTTATTTTAATATAATTTAATTTAATCTTCATGAACTTGTATTAGTACAATGTCCCTTTAAGACAGAAAGTATTGCATACAGGTGATTTCTTATCAAATAATAAAAAAAAAAACCCACCATACACATTTAGTGTGGTCTTCCCCTGTTTCTGCAGCCCTCCGTCTGGTACGATGATGACAGTGTACTCCCCGCTGTCCTCTGGCACCAGGTTCCTGAGCTCCAGGGCCCCTGTGGCTCGGTCTAATGAGATCCTGTTAGCGTGACCGGGTTCAGTGACGTTGCTGCTGGTGGAGGTGATGATGTTCACCCCTTTAAAGCTCCAGCTGACTGAGAGGAATGGAGTCTCCGGAGGTGTGAGGGTGGTGGTGAACTTCACTGTGCCTGCCACAGCTCCGCTAAGGGGCCCCGGGGGTAAGATACCCTCTCCTACACTCATACCTAATAAATACAAAATTAAGAGCCACACTGTTATATTTCTTTGACACTGGGGTCTAAATCTTTAATACAATAAAACAAAATTCATGATATAGCTCATTAAATATTTGAATTGAATCTACCTGAGAAACCAAGCACCAAACAGGCAACCGTCCTGAGCATCTTGATGTCCGTGGTGAATAAGGACTTCTTTGACATTGTCTCACAGTCCTCTCCGAAATCAAAAGGGTCATGGGTGCTCCTGCTCTTTTATTGTCCCACACCCACAGCACAGGACCATCTCCAACCCCCCACTTAGTAATGAAAAGCCCTAACACTGTTTACGATGCCACTGTGTACATACACCGAAATGCCTGTGGGTATATGTTCAGTCAGGAGTTACATAGACTCAGGTTGATGGACTCTGTAGGACTAATTTGTTTTTGTAGAAATGTCTTTGGATCAGACAAATATTGGTCAGCTGTATTTAAGGAACAACTAGTCTTTTTGCTGTAAACCTGTGATAGAAAATGTAATCAAAAGAAGAAGAATCTAACAGCTCAACAAATGTCATCTCTATAAGCTATACATGGACATGGTAATCATACAGCTGTGAATAAGTTTGCCCCTAATAAGGTATGACACAGTCTTTTAATAATAAGCTAGAAAGCCACTGAAATGTTTCTTATCCTGCCAGGGGTCTCATCAGTAAATCAAATACAGTGCCTTGCGAAAGTATTCGGCCCCCTTGAACTTTTCAACCTTTTGCCACATTTCAGGCTTCAAACATAAAGATCTAAAATTTTTATTTTTTGTGAAGAATCACC